CTTTGCTTGCTTTTTCCAATCAAGGCTTCATTATCACTAAGAGCCTCAAAATGCTGGACATCGCATTTCCATTAGTTATTATTTAAAAATTTCCTGGGGAGGATCCGCAGACCCCCTTAAAACTCCCGCCTTCGGCGTACGCTAGATGGATATTTCTATGATATTTTTCGCAAGCCCATGCCACATACTCTCTATCTGATCATGACATGGCGATATGTCACACAATCCCGCTCGATTTAAGGTGGCTTCCTACAGGCTTCCTAAGGTGGCTTCCTATGCAAAAATGTCATCTATGAAATATTTTGTCAATATTGTTATGCAATAGTTTGAAGTTCATGTTGATGTCTACCCCTTTTCTGGATCTCATCAATTTTTTGAGATATTTGGGAAAAACAAATTTCGACAAAATGCAAATTCCGTTGCCTAGGTAACGTTAATAGAGCTAAATATCATGCCAAACAAAACGTTGGTCAATGGCTTAATACTGTTCCAAACACGAGACAAATCGTGCATAGCAAGGTTTTTCAAAAAGCGAATTTAAAATGAGAGGTATGGTTGAAAAACAACTGTAGGAATCCACCTTCAGATCAACTCAAATTCCTTTAACAACAAATCATATGCAAAACGTGACAGGCATTCAGAAAATAACTAAACCACCTTTCTCCCTGGGATGAAATAAGCATTTTTCGTTACCTTGATTCTACTCAAATAAAGCATAAAAGTGCAAGACGGTAACATTCATTGTAACTTTGTATCAGCGGTTCGCCCCGATGATACGAACCTCTGCGAGAGCAGCAATAAAACGAAATGGTAGAATTGATTTCAGTGACGATTAGGGTATTGTTACCTTAGTTTTAATCCGTCTTCATTCAAATTTCTTTTACATTGATCTGGCTCAAATACGTCGTGGAGCATTCTCTAAAATGTATTCGAATAATCTGAAGAGAGCAAACACGACTGCAGGAAAAGTCGCGCCTATATTACTGATCACGGGAGCAGCTTGGCTGGTATACGTGATTGTTGTTTACGATGGAAATTCTCACCAAAATTCCATTTATTGTGATCTGAATATCTGAAAAGGGTCTTGCATAGCTTAGGAGGAAAAGAGGCGGACACAAGAGCAAGTAAGTGGAATATTAATTGAAATAAGCTCGTATACGACGACATACTGATTCGCTACTTCAATTCGAGAATTCCTCCGAAGTACACAAACAAAAACGGTCATAACTTTGCRAAAACTGAAAACGTACACAGGTTATTCGCTTTTGGTATCGTGTTAGGATAGAACTCTTTGATTATGTAGTTAAAAGTTTGTAGTTAGGTGCCACTTTTTCAATTCAAGCTCGTAATTTTGCTTAATTTTCAGCGCTCGCTGAATGTGTGTTAAGTAGGGCCCACAGTATGCCGAATTTCTTCCTAACGACTACTTTGATGAAATAATGATTATCACCTAGTTACAGTAGAAAGATTTATCTACAATATGGTATAAAAAATGTTTCTAAAACATGCGGGATACATTATATACAATGCTATGAATGTATGCTAAATTTTTGATCGGAAACAGCTTGTTGCTGACGTAAGCAGGCTAAGATCGTTATCGGCTCCTGGCGAAATAAGAATTAAAAGAGGAATATTTCAAGGAGACTCTCTCTCACCTCTATTATTTTGTGTGGCACTTATCCCATTAACATCTGAACTTAACTCAACAGGTTTTGGCTACACCATAACCAAAGCTAGCCAAAATGTAAGCCACTTATTGTACATGGATGATCTAAAGGTGTTTGCAAAAACAGAACAACAACTGGATGGTGCACTACATGTAGTTAAGGAATTTAGCGATGACATCCAAATGCAGTTTGGGTTGAGTAAGTGTGCCAAAGTGACTTTAAGGGGAGGGCGTGTAGTTAAGAGAGAAAACATAACCATTGATGTCAACACTGCAATAAAGAACCTTAACCAAGAACACACCTATAAATACCTTGGAGTTGAGGAGAACGCAGGAATTCAACATAGCAAAATGAAAGAAAAGATCAGGAAAGAATACTACAGAAGGGTTAAAATGGTACTGAAAAGTGAGCTTCACGCAAAGAACAAGATTGAATCAATCAATTCTATTGCGGTGCCTGTAGTACAGTATAGTTTCGGAATCATTGACTGGAAAGTAGATGAGATTGTTAAGCTTGACAGAAAGACCAGAAAGCTTCTAACCATGCACAGAATGTTCCATCCAAGATCTGATGTAGACAGGCTATATATACAAAGAAAATATGGCGGGAGAGGACTTACTCAATTAGAAGCATCTTTTAAAACAGCAATGGTCGGCTTAGATTGTTATATCACGCTAAAGCAAGAGACAAAGCTAAAACTGGTTAAACATCATGACAGCTGTAAATCAAAGTACTCCATCTCAAAAACTGCAGCGAAGGTGAAGCAAGAATATGATCTGGTTGATGAAGAATTTAAARAAGACAAAACACCATCTGAAAATGCCAAGGCCCTGAAGATGAAGTTAAGAGAAAAGATCTTTGAAAGTCGGAAAGAGCGCTGGGAAGCAAAACCTTTACATGGCCAGTACTGTATAAATGTGAATARACCCTATGTTGATAAAGCAGCTACCAACGCATGGCTGACATCAGGTGATTTGAAAGGTGAGACAGAAGGTTTCATTGCTGCTGCTCAAGACCAGTCGTTATTGACACGGAATTACCAACATTATGTCCTCAAGGATAATACTACTGATGGTCTCTGCAGACTCTGTCACAGCAAAACAGAATCAATCGACCATCTTCTCACAGGCTGTGAGATCCTTGCTCCTACACAGTATCTAAAGAGACACAACARTGCCGCCTCATACTTGCATTGGATACTCTGTAAGGATAACGGCATCGAGGTGACCGATAATTGGTACGAACACGATCCGCCAAAAATTGTAAGGAAAGACCACATCACCATCATGTGGGACTGCCAAATCATCACAGACAGAACAATTAAAGCAAACAGACCGGATATAGTGGTCAAAGACATTGACAACAAAACATGCCAACTCATTGATGTGTCAACTCCATCTGACAGAAACATCTGCCTCAAACACCACGAAAAAATGAGCAAGTACAAAGATCTGGAAATAGAGATAAGCCGTATGTGGAGCGTAAACACCCAAGTTATACCAGTCATCATAGGGGCTCTAGGAACGACTAAAAACGGGACAACTGAAAATCTNAAATTAGCAAGACGAAGTTTCTTCTCAGACAATCGTTGCCAAAATACCTTGGACCGTACAATTATTTGCCTTCAGCCTAACATTTTTCTCCTTTATTTTTTGACAGTTTCCCCCGTAGCCCCCTTTCATCAATGTTGGGTCTTGTTTTGGATGCTTGTGTACTATGGTAACATGATCAATGACAACATTGCATTTAGGGGGTCAGGGGGGATGAAATTGTGTGCTGGTGTTGCTTAAAATGACGAAATTCGCTGGAATGGTCCAAGGTTTTTGTCAACGATTGTCTGACGCCTAATTTACTAGAGAAAGGCAATATTTACCAAACTAGTTTTTCATACTTTGAAATAGAGTGAAACATAAAAACACAATTGCTTTTTATGAAATTCCGTCAATTTGAGGTCCGCATATTTAGTGCTTATTGCAGTTAATTCAAGGACAGTAAGACAATACAACAATTCCACATAACTGCGACAAAAGTTTACAGAGCTAAACAAATTATGGAGTATCTAACAGGGCAAAAATTACACGGAAAATAATTTTGAAGTCATTAATTACATTATTCTAATGATATCATAAGAGATTGCACCCCTTATGCCTTGAAAACGTAGGTGCGCGAGGATTACGACTTCTGACTTGGGGGACTGGGGTGCGTAGATTTTTGTAGTTGGCACGATTCTCATCACGGTTCTCACTAAGAAAATTGGCTATTTCAACCTCTGTTTCGTATAAATTTCAGCAAGTTAGCATAGTTTGAATAGAGGGATTCATTTTTAAGCGAAAAATAGCTTAAAATACTAATTTTGAATACATTTAAGCAGAAACTCCGACGGTTCTCACTTTATAAGTTAAAACTAAGAGCTAATTACTAACCCATTTTTTTAGTTGTTTAAGTGAGAACCGTTGTGAATCCACTGTATTTCTTAGCTATTTACGCCAAAACTGGCTAAATATTCTCTGCCGGTAACGACTCTCCGTATTTTAGAGCTTAAATCGGTAATTCGTATTGATTAAGTAAGATTATTTTCACTTTTGTAAGTGAGAACCGTCGACGGGGAATTGAGAACCGTCAAACATAGCGTTCAATAGTTGGTACTGAGAATAAAATTCGCGAACATTCTACATGGCATTGCTTACAAGTTTGCTTTAAATGCATGGTTTCATTAAAATAGTTCACTTTTGTTGGGTTATTTGAATATAGTTTGCAGAAAAAGATACAAAATACGCCAAATTCTATAATGACACAGGGTGCCCAAGTCGATATACACAGAGCCTTTTTGTCCAATAGCGTTGAAAAATGTTCCTTTCACAGACTTTTTGTGCACATGTATAAGCCAAGCAACGTTCAGAAAGAGTGATATATACCCTCTATCAAGCTTGTGTGTTTTATAAGCAGTTTTGTGTGTATAAATGGCTACATGACGTCATTGCCAAGTCAAAATGTCGACTATTTCAATGATAGAGACACCGAATCGAAAGATGATGCCGATATCCTGCTATCCACATTATATCCCTACAAATGTGACAACATGGATATAATTCAAATTAGCAAAACGAAGTTTCTTCTCAGACAATCGTTGCCAAAATACCTTGGACCGTACAATTATTTGCCTTCAGCCCAACATTTTTCTCCTTTATTTTTTGACAGTTTTCCCCTGTAACCCCCTTTCATCAATGTTGGGTCTTGTTTTGGATGCTTGTGTACTATGGTAACATGATCAATGACAACATTGCATTTAGGGGGTCAGGGGGGACGAAATTGTCTGCGGGTGTTGCTTAAAATGAAGAAATTCGCTGGAATGGTCCAAGGTTTTTGTCAACGATTGTAGCATCTGTGGTGTTCCAAAGACAATGAATTTTGTTTTGTCAGGGTTAAGAGGCTGTCTCAGTAAAAACCACCCACTGATTTTTTTTTTTTTTAATTATTTTTTCTCTAACTCTGGCTATTGAAAGACCTCACTGGGTTAGTGTCTGAAATGAAATAAGTTTGGTTCAAAAATCTATTTTGGCTTCGCCAGGAGCCGATAAAAATCTTAGCCTGCTTACGTCAGCAACAAGCTGTTTCCGATCAAAAATTTATCATACATTCATAGCATTGTATATAATGTATCCCGCATGTTTTAGAAACATTTTTTATACCAAATTGTAGATAAATCTTTCTACTTTAACTAGGTGATAATCATTATTTCATCAAAGTAGCCGTTAGCAAGAAATTCGGCATACTGTGGGCCCTACTTAACACACATTCAGCGAGCGCTGAAAATTAAGCAAAATTACGAGCTTGAATTGCAAAAGTGGCACCTAACTACAAACTTTTAACTACATAATCAAAGAGTTCTATCCTTCCACGATACCAAAAGCGAATAACCTGTGTACGTTTTCAGTTTTTGCAAAGTTATGACCGTTTTTGTTTGTGTACTTCGGAGGAATTCTCGAATTGAAGTAGCGAATCAGTATG